CTGGCAAGGACTCGAGTCAGAAGAAAAAGAATGAGAAGGAGAAGGAAGAAAGGGAGGCTGGCAAGGATTCGAGTGAGAAGAAGAAGAATGAAAAGAAACGGAAGGAAGAAAGGAAGTCTGTCGAAGAGGTGGAAGAAATGAAGAATGATGAGAAGAAGCGGAAGGAAGAAATGAAGATGAACAAGGAGTCTGATGAGAATAAAGATGAGAAGAAGCGAAAGAAAGAAACAGACACAAACAAGAGACCTGCTCCGAAGGAGACAGATGGGCAGGGCAAGGAGCAGAAGGAAGAAAGAAACAAAAAAAGCAAAAACAAAAGTGGAGGATGGGACTCCGAAAGACACAAAGGGAGAAGATGCCAGTGAGGCAGCTGCGGGGGGGTGAGGAACAGCCAAAGAAAGCTGCAAAGGCAGCAAAGGAAAAGCAGAAATAAAAAAAGAAAGAAGAGAAAGATGAGGAAAGCAGGAAGGAGTCAGAGAAGAGTTCGAAGAAGGAGAACAAGGATGACTTGAAGATGGAGGCAAAGAAAAAACGAAAGACGGAAGTTGAGAAGACTGCTGCGGCTGAGCATGAACACAAAAAAAAGAAAAGAGACAATTGATCCAAAAGAGTTAGAGCGAAAGCAGAAGGAAGAAGAAGAGTTCATGCGGCATCTTGATCTCATCACTGCTGCTGATGGTTTGTCATTAGTGGCATCACCTCAAAAAGGCAGAGCAGCAATAGTTCCAAAAGAAAAAGAAAATACAGGCCAGGAAGGAAAGAAGAGTGAAGAGCTAAACAAGGCCAAGAGCCAGGCTGGCCTTCAATCCAAACCTATGGTGATGTATATATGATTTAAAATCTGGGACAGAACAATCCGCCATGTATATGTGCCCAGGGCCGATTGATTGAGCGGACGTCCACCTTGGCAAGTGTGAGTTTGGATTCGTCGATATCACCACGGAAATTGGACTTTGGTGACACGGTGCCTTTGTGTGTAATCCTGAACTTGCGTGCTCAAAAAAAATGTTAGCAACTAATTTGTGAAGCCTGGACCTCTTAGGAAACATCGAGCCCACCGACTTCTGCTGAGCGCACCCAGCGGAAGAGGGAGTTTACCCAAGAAGAATTGGAGAAGATTTCATCTATGTCCAAACCAAGTGAAATGGATTCAAAGGAACATCATGTGAGTTGTGTTGGTGGTGGTTGAAAACTGAAATGTGGTTCGATGTTAACTTGTTCACCTTCCAGGAGCGTAAACGCCAGTACAGTGCGATGAGGAGGGCATTCCATGCAGAGGCTCCAGCTCCACTTCTTGCCAAATTTTTTCACTATGTTCGGACAAGGAGAGGCCCCTTGGCAATCTAGTGTGATGTAATATATATCTTGAATGGTCTAATGGAAAAGAAAACAACACAAACAAATACAAACAAACGATGTCCCCAAGGTTTGGGATGTTGAAGGCATGGCTACAGAATCCCAACCTGTCAGAGATGTTCGTGGAGGAGAAATACCATTCATGGGTTTCCAGCTTGCATACCGACCGGCATGTCACAGCCCTGACCTCAATAGCTGTCAGTACCACTTGGCATAATATATGTGAAACTTGCTCAGGCCTGTTGGAAGAAAAATATAGCTCTGCCTACCCTAGGTCACACTTTTCCAATTGGAAAAGATGTACGGTACAACGAAGGAGGCTCAGGCTTTCATTGCCGAACTTTGCCGTGGATACTTGGAACATCTTGGAACAAACATGGCCATTCTACAAATGTTAGCATGCCTGATGTTCCCTTCTGCCTTCCGAGGACAATCTGGTACGCCGCACCCGCAGGCCTTGCCCGGCGTGAGCTTTTGAGTCTTTTTTTGGCGACCTTGGCCTGCAGGCACCACAGGTGGCAAAAGCCCGGATGTTCAAGGTTCTGAAGGAAGTGGTGGATGAGACCAGTAAGGGTGAAAGTTCCTCGAGTGGAGTATCTTATCTCTGATGAGCTAGTGTGTAATGAAACACTTTTAGCTATTGTTGCAACTACTATTGGAAGACACATCCTAGCTTGTGGTGTCTCAGGTATCTATTTCAGGTCGGGTCAGTGAATCCAAAGCAAAGGAGCTTCTGAAGAAGCAACTTGGGGGTCTTGGTGATGGTATTGGTAACTTCCTGGACATGAAGACTGGAGCCATTAAGTCCAAAAAACCAAAAAAAAAGAAAAAACCGCAGAGGAAGAGGCAATTGCTGAAGTCAAGAAACTGGAAAAGAAGAAACTCGGTACCATTTAAACCATGAGTGTTTTTCCTTTTTGGTGTTCTTGTCCAGGTGGGGTCGATATAAAAGACAGATTCTATAACCTTTTCCTCAGGTGCAAAGCCCTTTCCAATGACCTCGACAAGGTCATTGAGGAATTGGTAACGCACAAGGTCCGTAACTGCTCAGAGCTGGTGCCTTGTTGGCTTGATTAATGAAATGTTTGCAAATCATTTCTCACAAGCTCTAGCTGGGGTATGCTGGGGTACCTTCATGCATTGGCTTCACCTGGTTTGACTTAGGTGTCCTGTTTGGAGAAGCATGTGCCTGTGGTCGCGAGTGAGCTCACTCGTGTGAGCACAATGGCGGCTGTTGCGATCAGTGAGGTTGATGTACAGAAGACAGTGTCCTTCGTGACCGAACACAAAGAAACCCTAAAACCGATTGATATCGATGTGAGAGACGGCAAACGTCGTGTCACCTCGGCCAAAGGTCCCAAGAGAAAGAAGGTTGCCGAGATCGAGGAAGTCTCCGATCTTGAGGATTAGCTATTTTTCTTTGATGGTCTGATACCAGAAAATCACCATGGCTGCATTCACAAAACAATCTGATCACCCTGACCTTCCGCGGTGGCTATACTTTTGTCCTTGATCACTGTCATCTTTGTTTTTGTTTCCAGGCTGTGCCAGGTGTTTGGGCCATCTTAGTTTGCAGATCTTGTGTCACCACTGGCCAAAGGAGAGTTTGCCACTAGATCTAGAGCAGACCTTGTATAAAGCAAAAAACATATTCTAATCTTTGTCCCAGTGCTAGTGGTTAATTCGGGGAGTTGAGATGCCCGGGCGATCCTGGGCATCCAGGCTGCAGGTAGCTTCAGGCGCTGCCTGTCCGCATTGATGGAGAGTTGGAAGCTAGTTGGCTGGATCTGTGGGGTCAAAAGCTAGCCTCCGGCCTATGACAGAAGTCATTTTGTGCATACTTGGATTCTGCAAAGACCCTGGTCCTGTGGGTTCATATATCTTTGCCTGCTCAAGTGGGGGCATGCAAATGATAGTTTGAACGTTGCAAGAACATACTGCACATGCATGCATGCGTGTGCCAGCTAGCTGGCATGTATATAATTGAATGGACCTGGTGGAAGAGTTCTTGGAACTATCCAGGAATGTCCAAAGCTTAGTGGCACATTGTGTGCATTGCGTGCATTAATTTGCAACTGGACCTTGGAGCTCTAAATCTTGGGGCTAGCAGGTGCACATTGCACATGGGGTGGACTGAGGTGAGTGTCACCACTGTGGTTGAATTGTTTGGGGTTCTTAGACGGCGAATTCCGGGACGATTTTTGCCGACTCTTTTCAGCATGTCAGCTAACTATGGATGTGAATCTATGCAACCATCGATAATATGTGCAGGGTTCGATGTATCTTGTTATCATTTGCTCTGTCAAATTCAGGAGGAATCTCAAAGAACTGGTGGGATCTGCTGATGCAAACCAAAATACCCGGCACCATGCTCAAAGATTCTGGGCGTGGCTGAAGAAACAAAAATGGCGCAAAATGCTTCCAGAACCCAAAGAGCCACTTGCATAGATCAAGGGGTTCTTTCAGAACATGGTTTTAGTTAAGTTGCTGGACCGCATTCATTCAGCTACTTGCTAAGGGTGGAGGTGGTTCTAATGGACCCGGCCCGGGAAGAGAAGTTCTACATTGGCCTGTGGCATATCTTCTTGCCATCTGATGTGTTCCTTTGCCATTGGATGTGAAAGGTTGGTAATTGCCACAAGAAAAATCGATATCATTATACCTGCATGCATGCGCAGGTTTGCCGCAACCTACTCATATGATATTGATCTCTTCCGGAAGCTCTTCTTGGGGCCACCAGGGGTGTCTTGGCAAGTGTAGACAATATGTGCATAGTGCACTAGTTTGTTTTCTTACCAGTCGAGTTGGGCCAAGGCCCTGAAAGAGTTCTGGAAGGCCCAAAGAGGATGTATGTGGTTCAAAGAGCACCCGTTGCTGGCTGACAAGGATTGTGAGTTCTATCAACCTGGTGATTTAACATAATGCGCATGTGCTGTGCACGCTGTGCTGTGCATGCTGTGCTGTGCATGCTGTGCTGTGTGTGTGCTGTGCTGCAGGCTGATGATGAATTACAGTATATCGTTCCGCTTGTGATCCACGGAGACGACGCAGATGCCCACCGGCGAAGAAGTTTTCAGGTTCTCACGATGAGTTCGGCAGTGTCGGATGGCTCTCCTTGGGACACAAAGATTGTCCTCTATTGTGTGGACAATTCACGTGTTGTGGAGGAAACCTTTGACACGCTTGATACATGGGTTGTTTTCGGATTGTTGGAGATTGCTCATGGAAAGTGTCTTACGATTGACCCGTGGGGCAGAAGGATTGAACGACCATCTGGCTCCCTTGCAGGACGTTACACTGGTGTATTGACCAACTTGAAGGGAGATGAAAAATGGCTTCAGAAATCTCTGAAGCTGAAGAACTCGTGGGTTTCCCACTCGGTCTGTGCAATTTGCCGCGCTACACAGACAGGACCTTTGATCTACACAACATTCGGAAGCCAAGCGCCGCACCGTTCAACATTGTTATCCACTGATGATTTTATTCGGGAAGCTGTCAGGTCAAATGCTTGGATCCGTCTTCCAGGTTTCTCAGTGTCTCTGGTCAACTATGACTATCTTCATATAGTTGATCTCACCATTATACCTGAGTGCAGTGCATCTGCCCTCGTGGAACTGACCAGAGACTGCCTTGTATGGGATGCTCCCAGTGCAGATGAACGGTTGCGACTAGCATATGTTCAGTTTGTTGCTGCGTGCAAAGCTAGCAGGGTTAGAGTCTAGCATGCAGTATAGCATGCCAAGTATGTTGCAATGGTTTGTGCACATGTTGTTTCGTTGAACTTGGGGGACCCAAGCCATATTTAGGAAATCGAGGGCAAGTATTCAGCTTGAGCCTTTGTTGCAACCAAACATGTCTGTGTGTTGCAATTTAAATCTCAACTGCTGAGTTGGGCAGTTGGTTTCAGGAAGCAATTGTTCCCCAATGGCAAGCACTCCTTCCCTACGTTGGCTCAAAAGCATTTCAATGGTTCAGAATCTTGTTTGCAAATATGTGTCCTTTCATGAGGCCTGTTTCTAAGTGGTTTTCCCCAACCCATACTCAGGAAGCTGGAGTATTGGCGAAATTTTTGAAGGGCGTTTGTCTTGCAGTGGCCAACCTCCGGCCACGTGATGAGCATGCTCAGTGCCTTAACACAAAAAGAGTTTGAATTTTGTGAATGAGGGCTCATTGTGGATGCATCGTACACCAGCACCACTCAAAGGATGGCCAACAACCCCCCTAAACATCCAAAACCATCCGGGCCTTTCAGTGGTTCTGGTGGAATCGGACCCCCTTTAAAACAATTGGCAGGTTACGCGCAGCAGTGTTTGTGAACTTGTGCGCTATGAGAAGTGCTATATCGAACAAAAGGAATGACACCATTGGTGCATTAAGACCTGAAAACCTTCGAGCTTTGCAGCATGCAGTTTTTCTTTGGCATTCAGCACACAACAGCTTCGTGGCAACAAAGAATACCTGTTGAATGCAAAGCATGACTCACGACACCTTCTGCAGCTACCATGACCGGGTACTTCTAAGGTTTGGCTCAGGAGAGCATTGCTAAGAATGAGTGTCTGTGGAAATGCCGCCCGAAACACCATAAGTTTCAAGACTGCATAAACCTGTTGGAACAGTGCAGAAACACAGGACATCTTAAGGCGTTTGGAGAACCTAGCTAAGGTTGGACCACTTGGTGCTGGACTCTGCGCACCGTCTGAGTGTTTTCCCATCCAGCACATACATGGATGAGGATATGGTAGGCAAGGTCAAGAAGCTGGCTCTCCGGAGTCACCCAATTGGTCTTGGTTACCAAGTCTTGCAAAGGTATGCAAGCTACTGCTGCGTACGGTGGCTTAGAACCCTGGATTCATGACGGCTCACCAGACATCCCGGCCTTGTCGCGTTGAAAGGTTTCGCCGCAGCAGCCGCCGAGCCGAGCGGGGAGATGTCAGGGTTGGCTGGGAGGGTTATGAGATTTTTGGGGGGATCCATCAACTCATACAGAAAGGATTTGTAATGGAACATCATGATCCTTGAGTGACAAAGGGGTCTCCAAAAAGCGCTCCTTACAAGGAGCCAAAAAACAGAAACCAAAAAGCATCCCTTCGGGGGTGCTGGTATATGTATTATCCCTAAGGGTCCAGGACCATCCTGAGGATGTCCTTTGACCCCCCGTTCGACCATTCTCTGGAAGTACTTTCACCTCCAAGACCATCCTCAGGAGGTACCTGGACCCTATGGGTATATATAGTGTTGTTACCGAAGACTCACTCAAGTGCCCTTCGCCGCGCATCTCCGCTCGGTTTCCGAGGCCGAACCTGGGTATCGGATGGATCCCACCGCTCTGGAAGCAGTGCGCCTCTCCGCACCGAACTCGGTACTGCATCGAACCAGGTCGGTCGGGTGGAACCGCTCTGGGACCAACCCCGGTGGGCGGCGTCGGCAGTTCCCGACGCGTCATGGGAGAGGTTATGGCACCGAAGATCCCTTTGGATCACCTCCCTAGGGATCCGTTTTCGTACCTTCACCTCAGGTTCGGTACCACTGGGCCTGGCACCTACATATAGAGTGTCTCCAATCACCTTCTGACAAGCCTGGTTATAGTCAACTGCACGCCAGCAGGATGCCAATTTGACATGGCATGTAAGCCCTTGGTTGGGCTTCCAGAACCCTGGATCGCGCCCGGTTTGAAGACCTTCGACCGGCGCCTGGACAGGAAGAGCGAAAAGGGCACCCGGACAGGAAGTGCTATAGGTTGGTTGATTTGGTTTATTGGTTTGTTTGAAGTTGATCTGCTTTGGTAGTGTAAACCACCCTCGTAAAGCAATGCCACGACCCAGAGGACCGATCCGGCCATTCGACAATGTTTGGTGGGCCACGACTTCCATGGAATCAGTGTCCGAATTCAAACCACCATTGTTT